ATTTATATATATTATATATGCTATCTAGAGAGATCACATAGATATGCTATCTAGACAGCATATATATCACATAGATATGCTGTCTAGATAGCATATATATATCAATACAAATGCCCTATATATAGCATGTCTGTCACATAGATATGCTATCCAAATATCATATATATCACATAGATGTCTACATATATCACATATATGCTATCTAGACAGCATATATATCACATAGATATGCTATCTAGACAGCATATATATAGCATATCTATACCAAATACATATGCCCTATGTATAGTATATATATCATATAGATATGCTATCTAAATAGCATATATATCACATAGATATCTAGATATCCATAAATATCACATATATGCTATCTAGATAACATACACATCACATAGATATCCTATCTAGATAGCATACGTATAGCTTATATGTCACATGCATGTGCTGTATATATAGCAGATACATATCACATATATATGCTGTGGAATACTTAGCCATAAAAAACAGTGAAATCATGTCTTCCGCAGCAACATGGATGGAACTAGAGACCATTATCCTAAGTGAAATGGCCGAGAAATAGAAAGTCAAAAAAACTCATGTTCTCACTTCTAAGTGGAAGCTAAACCATGGGTACACACGGACAAGCAGAGTGGAAAACAGACATTGGAGGCTCCCATAGGTAGGAGGGTGAGAAGAGGGTGAGGGATACAGTACTACCTATTGGCTACAATGTACACTATTTGGGTGATGGATGCACTAAAAGCCCAGTCTTCAACACTACGAAATATATCCACGTAACAAAACTGCACTTGTACCCCAAATCTATAAAAATAAAAAAATTTTTAAGGCTCTTAATTCTTCTAGGGCAAGTGGGAGATGCCCAAAAGTTATAAAGTAAACCAACAAATGAATAAGATAATTTCAGATAGCGGTGAGTGCTGTGAAGACACGAAAGAAAATGTAAGACTAGGCTGGGAGCGGTGGCTCTCGCCTGTAATGCCAGCACTTTGGGAGGCCAAAGTAGGAGAAACACGAGGTCAGGAGTTTGAGACCAGCCTGGTCAACATGGTGAAATCCTGTCCCCACTAAAAAAAAAAAATATTAGCTGGGCATGGTGGTGGGTGCCTGTAGGCCCAGCTACTCGGGAGGCTGAGGCAGGAGAATCTCTTGAACCTGAGAGGTGAAGACTGCAGTGAGCCCAGATCACACCACTGCACTCCAGCCCAGGGGACAGTGCAAGAC